TAGATTTTTTCTGAAAATTTTGCAACTCATCTGGAGCACACTGGAGATCCCAAGGCAGTGTGAAGTAAGTCCTGAGAGGGATTTCTTTCCTAATTTGTCAGGAAGTATAAATATGAAAAGAGATAGAAACATAGATAGAAACATCATGTCCTTCCAACACATGAATCAATTACATGTTACTGGACACACAGTACAGATCAACTGTGAAGTTTACACGGGCAGTGTGGTTGCTGTAAGTTGGGTTTCCTGGTTTATGTGTACTTTTGGATAGCCACTTTCAGCTGCAATAACAGAGCACCACAGACTGGGTGACACAGACTAGGAGAAATGGATGATATCACAGTTCTGGGAGCTGGAAGTCTATCCATGCCGGTGTCTGCAGGCTTTTTCCTCTGAGGTCTTACTCTGTGTAGACTGATCAATCTTCACACCGTATTCCTTCTGTGCTGTTGGGTCCCCATCTCTTTTTATAGGACACAAAGTAGTACTGGATAAGAGCTCAATCCATGAGTCCATTTTACCTGAGTGTTGTCTTCAAGGACACAGCTTTCCCACACCATCTCAATCTGAGTACCACAGGTACCTGAGGTACCAAAGTTAGGACTTCAATATGTGAACTGAACTTCGGCCTGAACGTCCTCATGTATAAAAAGAAGGTGAGCCGGGCACTGATGGCTCTCGCCTATAATCCTATTCAGGAGACAGAGATCTGAGGATTGTGGGTATGAAGCCAGCCCAGGCAGGAAAGGCCCGGAGATTCTTACCTCCGATTAAACTACTCAGAAAAAGCCAGAAGTGGAGCTTTTGCCCAAATGGTAGAGCATTAGCCTTGATCAAAAGAAATGTATGGACAGTGCCCAGATCCTGAGTCCAAGCCCCAGAACCAGCACCAGAAAACAAAAAACAAAGGAGAAGGTGACATCAGCAGCTCAGGAATTGTAAAGCCTTTAGAATCTATAAAGCATTTGTTTATGAACAAGAACTACCATCACAAACAAGGCGGCAGAAAGACAGCCAACACATACGCATAGTCAGCATCTACATTGTCCTGCATCCTTGGCCTAGACCCCCTAAGGCAGGAGAGGTGGGAAAGGAGAAATGAGAGCCGTCTCCCCAGCATCCCGCCTCCCACATGCCCAGAGCTCAGAGCTCAGAGCTCAGAGCAGGGTGGGGGAGGGGAGATTCTTCATGGATTCAAACCAAACTTGAGACTCAGAATGGTGGCCCAGCAGAGAACAAGCTGGGGCCAAATGACCCAAACCCCATGGCTCCCAGGCACATTGTCTGCGATGAAGTTTGAAATTCAGACCTCTCCTGGCAGAGACAAAGGCAGGCCTGTCTGTCCCCGCTTCTCCAGGGAAAACAGCACAGCCATTAACCCAGTCACACTAGTAGTTGTGACACCTGATGCTGGCCGTTGCTGAGGTGACTTGTCGCTGGGGGAGGGGCCGAGGGAAAGCAGCCAAGCCTGTGTGCTCCAGAAAGAAAGGTAAACGGAGATCAGCCGGTGCCTGGCAGCCTTCCCCCTCTCCAAGCCTTCTTGCTAGTGCCTGCTTTTAATTTATGACATGTGGTGCTACAGGGACCATCTATGGATTTAACATTGACATTTCCTTCATACACTAATCCTCTGAATCCCATTTGCTGTGAATTTCAGCAAAATGACAGAAAAAGGACTCCATTATTATTATTTTATTATTATTATTAAGCATATGACAATATAATAACAGTGTTTGGGAGAAACTTGAATGAGCTGTGCGGGGATTTTGTTTGTTCATTTGTTTTTGTTTTGTGGACACCCTCTTTCTGCTCACCTCATTCAGCCTGTATTTAGGAAAAATGTCACTCTACAAATGGTCACACTCGGTAACCATGTGATTTCCCCCCAGACTCAACGCAGGCTATCCCATAGGATAGGGGATAGATTTTTGTGGGGTTCAGTGTGCTAATTCTGATAGGATTAGTCTCTCTCTCTATATATAGCCTTGGTATACTTCATAAAGTTGTAAATATACATGCCGTGGTGCCCAATAAGAGGTTTTTGAGATTCTGTATGAAGAAAGGAAAAGAAAAGATCCCAAAGCTTAGAACCCTTCCATTTTCTAGCAAGGACCTCAGGTGTTTCTTCTCCCCACACACTGGCTGGGATGTGACTTGTCCACATACCTGTCCATATATGACTGAAATCTCTCCTGTGGCTCTGCTTCCACTGGATCATCCCAGCCTCTGGGCCCTACGAAGCAGAATAGCAGTCTCATGAAGAGATTTAATTCCTAATACATGAATACTGTGCATACATTATGATGTTTAACAAATGAATTATAATTATAGATGGAATTAAATTTGTTAATTTGCTGGCAAACTGTAACTATCCTAGGTAATCTGCCTATATATATTGAGGCTAGTTTTCAGGCCCTAGCCATAGCATCCTTCCTAAACACTAGGTAACTGGTGACGTTTTCCTCATTTGAGTCTTCAGAGGAGGAAGAGGAAGCAGAAGAGTCGGTTTCAGATTGGTGTGAAGTGAGGAAGTGTTAACCTTGTTAGTGGCATTGAACATGGAGAACATTCAAGCTAGAAACAGGGGAGAAGGGGAGGCAGGAGAGCCAGGAGAGCCAAATTCTCCCTTACAATGCCACCCTCTCCCCACCCCCAAAAAAAGAAAAGCTTGACAATAGTTTGATTTTAGCCTAGGGATACCCATTTTGGACTTATGACTTCCAGTACTAGAAAAGAAAAAAATGACGTTAAATCTGTGGTAACTTGTCATAGCAGCAGGAAGTGACTAATACACTCCTTCTGCTAGTTTTGTATTCAATTTAGAAGCCATGTCCTAGTCCTACACATCTGCTCACTGTCCTTGATTTGCCTTTGGATTATGTATCACATTTATAACCAACATATCTGGTCTCTTGGCTGCACCCTGTCTTACCTAATTACCCTAAGTTCAAGCTGGTAGTTAATTGGAAAAGCTTCAATGCTGAAGGGAAGACAGCTAACTTATAAGTTAGTTCCAACATAGACACTACAACTTATTAATGTAGTTTTTTGTTTGTTTGTTTTTGTCGGTCATTGGGCCTGAAATCTGGGCCTGGGCACTGTCCTCAGCTCTTCAGCCCAAGGCTAGTGCTCTATCCCTTGAGACATAGCACCACTTCTGACTTTTTCTGCTTATGTGGTGCTGAAGAATCGAACCCAGGGCCTCATGCATGCAAGGCAAGCACTATACTACTGAGCCACCTTCTCTGCCCCTTGTAATGTTGTTTTGAAATGCAAACAGTTCACACTTCTAATTAAGGAATACACATCTCTACATTTAATGCAAATCAGTTAAATATTGGATGCTTGAAATACCTGGCTGATACAAACAAAAAGTGAGCATGAGATAAAGACCACATTCTTATGAATTTCTGAATTTCCTAAAACTGAAAGCTCACACATTTTATGTATGTCATGCTACATCTGCCTAAACTTGTTCTAAATAACCAGCCCCATCAAAGACATGCCTCACAAATTTCAACCACGGCATTTTTCCCAACAGGATTTTATAGGAATATTAATAACATGACCTTCCTGCCATTTTAGCAAAGGCAATTTTATACTTTGTGTTTCTTCCTAAAGGCTTTGATAAAGGCACATACTTTTATTTAATAAAAGCTAAAGATTTGTACTCCAGGTCACAGCTGCTAAGTTAAGAAACATTTATCTTATAAATACGTTCAATATACTCAGACTCTTCTTAGTCATTTAAGGACATTATTTTGTCTAACAATAAGGAAATTTACCAGATATAAGGAATAATCAGGATAATTTGTTAAAGCCTGTTTATTCATTTACACATTGATGATCTGCTTACTGTTCTCAAAATTACACAAGCACTTCAGGACCCTAGCCCAACAAACAGTATGTTAACAGCTGATTTGCTTCTTGGGAACAAAGTCCCAAGAAACTGGTTTAAAACAACATAGACATATTGCTTCAAGTTCTAGAAGTAAGAAATGCAAAAATGAGTTTTACAGGGCTACAACCAAGGTCTCAAAGGAATAGTTATTTCTGAAGGCTCCCAGAAAGAATTTATTTCTTGCCTCTTCCATCATATAGAGACTGCAGATATCCCTCACATGGCCTTTTCCTTTGGCTCTGATTCTTCCCATATATCTCTTACAAGGGTCACTGTGACTACATCACGCCTGGATAAAGTCAAGATCCATAACTTAATCACACCTACAAAGGTCTTTTGCCATATAAAGTTCCAAGAATTAAAATTTGAACATATTTGGAAAGCTTATTACTCAGCCTACTGCAGTCCACCTTCTGACCCTCAAAGATTCACCCCCAGTGGATAGCAAACACTTGTAATCCCAGGGTTCAAGGCTAGCACAGCCAAGAGAGTCCACGAGATTCTTATCTCCAATTAACTACCAAAAAACAGGAAATAGAACTTTGGCTTAAGAGGTAGAGTTCTAGCCTTGAGTACAGAAGCTCAGGAGAGTGCCCAGGCCCTGAAAAATCACCCCACAGTGCTTGAAGGCCATAGGTTCAGACCTATTCCAGCTTCTACTCTAAAAATCTCATCTAATTCTTATCCATTCAAAAGTCTCAAATCAAGTTATCTAAATCAGGTGTAGGTGAATCTCAGCATAAAATCCATCCAAGAGGACAATTCTTCTTTCTGTAGATTTGTGAAATTAGAAAACAAGTTTTATGTTCAAAGAAGCTAGTAGGACAGGCAAAGGATAACAGTTACGGACATCATTGTCCAATAAAAGGAAACATAAAAGGAAAAAGGATGTCTGTTTTCCTAACCAATTTCTGAATGCAATCAGGCAAACCTGACTGCATTTCAGGGCCTGGATGTTTCTCTAAGGTTCTTGGCCCACAGTTTCCCTTAGAGTAACCCCCCTTTTTTTGAATGGCAACATTTGTTTGAAGTAAAGTACTCACACCAGGCTGTTTCCTGCCTGTAGAATCTGGGGAGTCCCAATAGCTTACTCTCATTCTATCCTCTCAGTCATTTTCAGTCCAAGCTGGCAGGGTTTCTGCTGGTATAACATTCGCTGAAACTTCGTGAGCCATTATCCAGCTTACCACCAGCTTACTGACTGGATAACTGAGAGAGGAAAGTGAACATGAGATCTGAAAAATGGGCTGGACCATGTTATGAAACATTCCTAGAACAGAGTACAGACATTTGAAGTGCTTAAGTGTGCTTGTTTTCTCTCCTCCACAGAGATTAGATCTAACTTATAAACATGTATGAAAACATATGCATATGTACATAAACTATGATTTAGAATATGTCACGTGCAGGGGAGGTTTGCAATGGTGGAACTCGATCAAACAACCAACTCATAGTTTAACAAAATAAACATTTGTTGTCAGGAAGAGTGAGGTGAAGAGGAAGGGGAAATTAGTGAAGAGAAGAAGGGTGGATGAATACAGTCATTATAGTCAATATACATATGTGAACATAGAACCAGGTAAATTAAGGAGATAGGTGGATTAGAAGATACAGGAGAAAATGATGGAAGGGGTAACATTGATGGAGATACATTATAGTTATAAACTGTTACGTTCATTGAAACTCCTTTGTACAACTACTTAAAGATAATTTAATAATTAAAATATAATGTTCTTAAATAATAATAAAGCCATATTTATCTTCAAACCTCTAGTTAGGCATAAGTACATGAGCTTACTTGAATGTCCTTTAATCTGCGGTTTATCTCCTCACAGGAAGATGTCAAACCATATACTAAAAAGGAAAAACATGCAGCCCAGAACATACTGATGATTGTTAAAGAGAATTTTTTAAAAAAGGAAGAAGCTATTTAAGCCATAATAAGTCCAAAGGAGAATTTCATGAAGGAAATCAAAATCCTATCAGGAAGACAATGAAGCCAAGGAACCTGATCCCAGCAGTTCGAAATGACTTCTTCTCAAAGTAATGGCACCAATCATTTATTTCCAAAGTGTGATTCCCATTTTTGGCCCCTCATTGAACCTGGTAGAGATCAGGCCATGTGTAGATAGCAGAGTATTAACCAGGTCTGCACTGGCATCTAAATAGGTAGCCACATCTTAGTGGCTTAGGGCTCCAAGACCAGTTGATAGGCTTTGTCCAATAAGAATTTGTCATACTTTGGTTAATCACTTCATTAGATGAAATATAATTTTAAATAAGCACTGACCCATCTGTCCTACCTTCCATCTGATTTTTTATTTGTATTTATTATCTTTCAGTAGTTAGTTTCAATTTAACATGTCAGTTTGTGAATATAATCTTGGTCAATGTCACCCTTTCTATCATTCTTTCTCATCTTTCCATATGATTTCTGTAAATTGTAGACATGGATTAATTTATTTTTTTCAATGAACTCCTTTTATTATTTCCTTACCTCCAGTACAAATGGATTCATTTAAAATAACAAAAACTAGATTCTTTAGCAATTACAAAAATGTGAGCTAGAGTTCCAATGAGACACTATGTTAAACCCACTACACTGGAATTGTGTGTGTGTGTGTGTGTGTGTGTGTGTGTGTGTGTGTGTGTGTACTGGGGCTTGAACTCAGGACTTTGCACTCTCAGCTTAGCTTTTTTTCCTCAAGGCTAGTACTCAACCATTTGAGCCGCACCTTCACTTTTGGCTTTTTGGTGATTAATTGGAGATAAGAGACTCATAGACTTTTCTGCCTGGGTTGGCTTCTACCTCCTCACATCTCAGCCTCCTGAGTAGCTAGGATACAGGGTGAGCCACTAGTGCCCAGCCAGGAAAATACTTTAAAATTCTGATTATCAAGTACTGCCTGGGATATGTTACGATGGTAGTTTGGAGGTGGGAATTTGAGAGTGTTGGAATGTGATTCAATTATTTTGGAAAATGAGCTGGTAGCCATTTAAAAATCATGCCATGTCTGGGGATGTATGTCTGCGCAAGAGCACTTGCAAAGTCCTGAGTTTTATCTCTAGCTCGACACACAATTTTTTTAAATGATGGCATAACTTCAGCAATTTTACTCTTAGGTATATTCTCTAAACAAAAAGATCTTACACATGAGCCCTTCTAAACATGTTTATGACTATATTATAGGGGATAGAAATGTCAGTGGTCCAGGTATCTATAGGCAGAAATTCAGTTAGTGTGCTTTCACGAGATGCTCTACAGCAGTGGATATAAAGAAATCATAGCTATGTTTGAACATGGATTAACCTTAATAGCTTAATAGTGAAATAAGCAAGTCATAGAATAAAACGCATAGTTTGATACCATGTAATAAAGTTCAAGTCAAAGAACCATAACACATGATAGAATATTAACATATATAAGAAATTGTTTATAGAAACAAAGCCAAGTGCAGTGGCTCACACTAATAATCCCAGCTACTCAGGAGGTAGAGATAAAAAGGATCACATTTTTTGGCCATAGACAAAAATTTATCCAGACCCTAATCTCAATCAATAAATTGGATATGATGATATGTACCTATAATCTTAGCTATATGGAAAGTGTAAATAGGAGAAGCACAGTTCAAGTTGGCCTGGGCATGAACACAGGACCTAATTCCAAAAATAGCTAAAGCAAAAAGGGCTGGGAGCCAAGTGTGTCTGCCTAGAAATTGTGAGGCCTTGAGTTCAATTCTAAGTACTGTTACCAGATAATTTTTTAAGAAGGTTATGAATATATGCCAAATATAGGAATATCCATTAGCAGGGATCGGATATAAGATATAATGGCTGAGGGCCACAGAAATGTAAAGGTTTTACACATTTCTATTTTTTCAGTCAAGTGGTTTGTGCATGGGGTTCATTTAATAATTTATATGGGTATGTACTATATACTTTAAAGGGTAACCACAACTCTACCACTGGTCTTATAAAAGTAGGTTGTGAGGCAGCCTTTCCCCTCCACCATGGGGAAGGCCCCATGTTATACTGGGCATTCCTCCAGGACAGAAAATACCCCTGTCTTTTTATATGACTCAAGTCAGAAATGAGGATGTCTTCACTCCCCATTCAGTGCTGTTCACCTCACTTCCTCCCACCGGGCATGTCAGAGGCCCACCAGCCTTAGGTTAGGTTCCCCTGTCTCTGCTCCCATCCATAGCAGCCTCCCAGCCTCAGCAGCACCTGCCAAAGTCTCTGGGTTGGAACATGAAGAGGGGGGATACAGAAAACAAAGTGTCCTTACCTGATCAGTAATATCATAAACTGGCTCTAAGCCATATGGAAATGACATATTCTAGACCCGATAGCCACATGGTTCCTCTGAGAAAAACCAATGGTGACACTCATGAGGTAGGTTGTGCATTTTACCAATTCAGCCAGTATCTCCAATTTGGCCCTGGTTCACTAGTTGTTCACTGAAAAAGATTTCTCTGGTGAAATTCTATTGCTCTTTGAGGACCTCATGGGGCTACCTGATCAGTCCACAGCTGTTTCACAGCAGTCACCAAGGCAATTCAGGTCCACTCCACTCTCTGTCCAACCCTTAAGCAGGTTTCCAGCTTAGCTGTATTTCACTCGATTCCTATGTCTGGCAGGTGAGTGAGGCTGGAAATTCTAAAATATCCTTCCCTTGAGCCTCAAGCTAACACCCTCTCCTCCTCCTTCTTGGTGAGGGTTGGGATGAAGTAATCATAGAATAATAATAATAAAAACAAGTTCAAAGCTTCCCATGAAAATCTGCCTTCTCTGTTATATGCATAATTGGGATGAGAAAACCCTGGGTGAAGGACCCAGGAATGTAATACTGGTGCTTAGTTACTTTCTTTGAAAAGTTACATCATAAGTATCTGTTTCTCAATTCTCTTTGGTATTTATATCCTTATAATTAGTGCCTGAAGCAACCATTCCAACCTAACACCTTGTCAATGAGTTATGGAATATTTTGTTGTTCAGATGGAAGGGAGAAGCTTTGTGATAGACTAAGTACAAAACCTGCCTGCCTCCCTTGGCAACTCATCTTCAGATCTAGCTTTCTTGGTCTCAGCACCTTGGACTCAGCACCTTGCACACAAAGACCGTTCTGTCTTTTCCAGCCCTCCTGATTCTTATACTGTTTGCCCTCAATTGCATCAGACTAATACAGCAACAATTACAAGCACAACATAACTTTTGACCTCATTTATGGAATGGGATAATAGCAGCTACTGCACTACAGTGAGCATTAGACAAATATGGAAGTAAAAGCACTACACAAATATAATTTGTCTCTGCTACCCTGATCTAAGACAGAACTTCCTTGACAGCCGTGGAATCAGGTTCCAGAAAGTAAATGTGGAAGGCAGATCCAAGATTGAAAAATCACAGAGTTGTGAAAAATATAGAATTAAGAGGGCACAAGAATAAGTAAAAATTCTACAGATGTCGGTTGCTAAAAAAGTTAATGAGTCATTTTGGGGTAATATTTTTATATGTCAACCTGAAAACAGCAACTCTTCTCCTGCATCTCTCTGTCTCTAGCCAATTAGGAAATGTTGCTATTTCAGAGGGTAGAGTTACCCAATAAACTATAAGACAGCCCAGTTAAATTAGAATTTTAGACAAACCATAAATATTTTTTAGCATAAGTGTACGTCTTGCAATATTTGGAACTTACTTGTGCAAAATTATGCTTCATTGTTAATCTGAGATTCAAGCTTAACCAGTTACCCGTGTTTTTATTTTCATTTGCTGAATTTGTCAACCCTGCTCTAAAGAGAAAATTTCTTTTTACATGTTTTATAATTACATGGTTGAATCTCTACATTTTCAAAACAATTTTCATGGCTTGTGAGATCATGCATTTTATTCTTACATTTTTCTTCATTTCTTTTTCATAACTCTCAGCAAAAGTACAACATCCTGGAAATCACAGATCTATGTAGTAGCTTTTTTGCCTTATATCTAGTATATTAGACAATACACTGAGAGGTGGCTATTTGTTTAATAAATATTTAGAAGTCATTTTGGATGTAGAAATTAATGAGAAGAAAATCTTACCCTCAAGAAGATTTTGGTATAGGAAAGAAAATAAATATTAACCAGTAATCATACTCATAGACCAATTTAAATGGCTTATGAGAGGGAAATGAGATAATTGTTGAACTATTTCTCTAAGATATTAAACC